CGAGCCAGTTAGGGTGCCGTGTAGTAGCCATGAAACACACAACTTTCCTCTAGTTCCTAAATGCTTCCTCCCCCCACTATCATGATCCCAATTGTACCTTACAAATGTGGCTAGATCAGAGGATGTACACTGGTACAGATAGGAACTGGAAACACAGGGAATCCAGGACAGATGATCCCTTCAGAACCAGTGGTAAGAGTGGCTATACAGGGAAGTTGGAGGGAGGGTGAAGTGGCAAGGGGGAACCGATTACAAGGATCTATATATAACCTCCTCCCTGGGTGATGGACAACAGAAAAGTGGGTGAAGGGAGATGTCGGACAATGTAAGATATGACAAAATAATAATAATTTATAAATTATCAAGGGTTCATGAGGGAGGGGTGAGCGGGGAGGGAGGAGAAAAAATGAGGAGCTGATACCAAGGGCTCAAGTAGAAAGCAAATGTTTTGAGAATGATGATGGCAACAAATGTACAAAAGTGCTTGACACAAGGGACGGATGTGTGGATTGTGATAAGAATTGTACAAACCACCAATAAAACGATAAAAAAAAACCACAGTCACCTATAAGTGTACTCAGATAAGAGTATGCTCAGACTTAGCAACAGATACCATGAAAAAGAGGAGTGAAGTAGCATTCCCAAAAATTATAGGAAAATAACAGTAACCAAAGAATCCTATATCCCACCAAACTGTCCATCAAAATAGTTGAAGCAACAAATGTTGGAGGGGGTGTGGTAAGATAGGTACTCTCATTCACTGCTGGTGGTCTTGTAGGTACATACAGCCACCGTGGAAAGTGATTTGGCAATACCTAAAACAGATGGAAATTGAGTTACCTTATGACCCAGCTATACCAGTACTGGGCATTTACCCAGAAGAAATAAACACGCCACGACCAGACATCTGCACTGTTCATCGCTGTGCAGTTCACAATCGCAAAGATTTGGAAAAGCCTAAATTTCCATCAGAAACAGTGATCAAATGATGAGGCACCTCTTCTCTCGGAAAGAGTTGAAGGATGTTATGCTGAGTGAAGTTAGCCAAACACAAAAGGACACATACAACCTGAGTCCAAACATCAGGATGAGCACAGGGGAACATGTGCATATCGCACAGTTTCCGGGCTGAGGACCAGATACTCTAGCAAGAGCCAGACCAAACACGATGATGCATACGTCATCGAAAAGAAAAACGGAAAGATGTAGATAGCAACTGTGTGGAAACATCTCCTCCATCCCCACCCCTGCTGGCCCCATATGCCTTTAGGCCCATAGAGGGTGGGGGAAGAAAAAAGATGGCACTGGGGAACAGGGCACTAATCCACCCCAGGGGAGGGTATTGTTGATGTCTCCACAGGAACTGAGAGAGTAGACCTCAATCCAGTGCGCCAAGCCTTGAGGGTGACGTTCCTGCTCGGAGCACATATTCACAGAGAGGACTGACTGCAGGGCCGGCCCCACCTGGAGACATGACATCCCCACCCTAGATGACAGTGCTAGAGAGATCCCTTGTTATTACTCTGTCCCTGTTGTTATTGGCTCATCATTCCCCTTCCCCTGTCTCCTCCTCTCCCATGCCCCCCTGGAACCATCAGTCCCATTGCCTTGGGATTGCTTATCCTGCCTATCTTATATAGACAGACACCAAAAAAACAATGAGAGAAAAAAGAGACTACAGATAGTTCCAAGTAGAGGCCCAAAGTGTCCATCTGCTTCCATATATATATATATATATATATATATACACACACACACACACACACACACACACATATATATGTGTGTGTACCTATATATGTAGTTTTTACTTTCTTATTTTTTCCTCCTGCCCCACGAGGGATCTAAAACTGATGATGAGCAGGGGGTAGCATTCTGGTTCATGTTTGATCAACTGCGTAAACATCATCGTGGGGCAGGAGGAAAGAATAAGAAAGTAAAAACTACATATATAGGTACACATATAGATATGTATATATATATAAATATGTAAGGAAGCAGATGGACTTTGGGCCTCTACTTAAATCTTACCTCAGTACAAGAACGGTTTGTTTTGCTAATGTGGCCCTTTGTTGATGTCGTGCTGTCATTTACCCCCAACTGCTCAAAATAGTGATAGCGTGGTCAAACTGTGGGTGTAGAAAGGGCGTCTGGGCAAAACCACGGTCTTGATGTGGTGGTGGTGGACTGGGTTGTCTGCTGTTACAGAATGCCCCAATGGCAAGGGTACTTACTGATTTACAAAAAAATGTCTAGAACCTACATCAATGATTCCCGTTATGGGGTCCTCTGCAAGTGTCCACAAAAATTATAAAGGAGCTGTATCCAGTATTTTAAATCACAAATAAGTCTAAGGACATGGTTCTTTGCTTTTGGCTGGACATCAGCTTAGAGTAAAGGCAGTAGGCTTCCTATGTGAGTCAGCAGCTCAGGTTAATGATGGCATCACAGGGATTCCCGAGACAAGATTGATAGGCTAGATAATCTGGGATTTTCTGATTTATCATAAAATAGATCATAAATTAAAGGTACCTACCCCTAAGTTCACTGAGATGATTGGGAACCTCGAGTCTAGAGCATTCCTTATGGTGGTTACTGCCTCTTTCTTATTGCCTGCTTAAAATGTCATTTAGACCAAGGGCAGGTTTGTACCAGCCAAGATTAGATTCTCAAGAAGACGCCGTCTGTGTGGTAGGAAGATGGGATTCTGTCTCATGGAGACACGGAACTAAGTAAAACTGGTTTTCTTAGGTAAACTTAGGTTTACCAAAAGGGTTCGCCTACAGAAGTTACCTTAGAAGAGGCCTAGAGGCCGTTCTGTTACTTCTGTTGGAATTCTTAGGGTCAGCAGTATTTTGTCAATATGTACATTTTGGGGGAGAGCATTTCCTTTTTCTAAAAAACAAGAACGTAAAGCTCCTCTTGAGAATATCAGTCTGGTTTAAGCATGGGATAAAAAGTCAGGAACAGATATTCGTGCCTAGTACACACATAAGGAATGACTGAGTATTTTACACATGAGGACTCTCTTATCAGACAAGAGGGAAATTGTTTGTCTAAACTTGATGCATTTGAATTGTGATGCTGAAGAATACTGACAGCACCACGGACTGCTAATGGACACGCTCATCCGTCCTGGAAGAAGCAGGGCGAGAATGATCCGCAGAGCAGTGGTTCTCAACCTTGCTAATGCCACGGTCATTAATACAGTTCCTCATGTTGCGGGGACGCCCCAACCATAACATTATTTTCACTGCTAGTTCATAACTGTCATTTTTCTACTGTTATGAATCGGGGGACCCCTGTGAAAGGGTCATTTGACCCTTCAAGGGGTCCGGGAACCGCTGCCTTAGAAGCAGGGCTAGGGAGACTTCCTCTCACGTACTTTGGACATGCTGTCAGGAGACCATCGAAAGAAATGAAGGCCCGCGATGAGACGTTGACACGGCGGCTGCAACAATGGGCCGAGGAACAACTGTGAAGACGGCGAAAGCCCTAGCAGCATTTCCTTCTGTTGTGCGTGGGGGTGCTATGGGCCAGAACCGCCCCGATGGTACCCAACACCAAACTTGAGCCAGCACTTTCAAGATTAGGAGGTCCCTCGGGCTCCTCATTCAGCAAAAGGAGAAACAAAGCCAAGTGGGATGTGGGGGAACATAGAACGTAACTTTTCATCTGGATGTTCCTTTGGCTGTTGGTTTTTGTTAAATCGTTTTATTAGGGGCTCATACAACTCTTATCACAATCCATACATACATCAATTGTGTAAAGCACATTTGTACATTCGTTGGTCTCATCATTCTCAAAACATCCGCTCCACCCAAGCCCCTGGCATCAGCTCCTCTTTTCCCCCTCCCTCCCCACTGCCCCCTCCCTCATGAACCCTTGATAATTTATAAATTATTATTTTGTCATATCTTGCCCTGTCCGATGTCTCCCTTCACCCACTTTTCCGTTGTCTGTCCCCCAGGGAGGAGGTTATATGTAGATCCTTGTAATCGGTTCCCCCTTTCCAGCCCACCCTCCCTCCACCTTGGCTGGTGTTTTTAACTCGAGAGGCCAGTGGGCTCTCGGCCTCAGAAACTGCAGCACGTCCCCCCAGGGCGCTTCACTGGATGCACGGCAAGTCATCTCTGCCTGACTAAGGAACGTAAGTATGCACCCTGGATGGGAGGCAGGCAACAGGGCTTTTTTTTTTTAACGATAACTGCAAATTGTTCTCCATGGCTTACAATTGCTCTCTTTTAAAAACAGAACTCATAACCTTGTCAGAGACTCTCCTCCCTCCGCTCCTCCTCTCTGGATGTGCTCACACACTCTCTAGCCTTCTCTTTTCCCAAATCAGGCGAGTTGTTTGAAGCTCAAATGTCTGTTTTGTCTTACTTGAGTAGCATTTTCTTTAGACGCAGAGAAAACTGCCAACTGGGCTGTGGGCTAAATGTGTCACTGTATTTAGGGTATTAGTGCCATTGCCAGCGATGCCCTCGTGAGTAAACAAAGTACTGGTTTGCAAAGTTATTTAACATCGTATGCTATAATGACACGGAAGCATAGTCAGATTCTGGTGCACTGTGCCACCTGATATCCCTTTTACATCCATGTTATTGTCGGTAAGGGAATATCAATATCCCCTTTCCCCACCAAGTGACACCTATATTTAGTTCTACATCACAAGAGACTGATTCTTACTGTCACAATGCAAAGTCTCCTCTGAAAATATCTTTACACTAGAAGGCTCTCTAAATGAGACACACATCTTTGGAAAGATCCATCCAACAAAACAAAGCACAGAAACAGCTGTGGTCTGAGACGAGCACACACATGGCTCCGACCCTCTGACCGTGCCCCTTCTCGTGCCCTTGGCCTTCTCCCAGGGCGTGCCTGAATTCTCTCTAGGTCAGGGACGGGTGGGCGCGGAGAGATGAAAAATCAGCAGCATCCTGTCTCAGAGACCAGTACAGTTATCCAAAGACAAATAAATACAGGGCAATTACAGCACACAGTGTTTAAAGATTTGGGTAACTTTATTTGAACTTTCTAGTGATTTCTTAAGGCTTATGTCCAATGAAACTATTTCAAAAGCTCTATCAGATGTGGAAAGTTGGATGTCGATTACGCCTTTATTTAAAAAGAACAACAGCAGCTCAAACCTCTGAGTGAGCAAGGCCTACTTTTGTGGGCAGAGGTCCCGCTTCTCCATGATCTTCTGGTCGAGACCTAACCACCACCAGAGAAGACGCTGGGTATTTGTTTAGCTTCTGTTCGTTCAGAAACTCCAAGTCCCCGTAGATACTCAGCTTCTGCAAAAGAAAAATCAATGTACGTTAGCAACCTGCATAATTAGGAGCCTCTCTGAGTCTAAGTTTTCAAATAACAATTTAATCCAGGAAACAAATTCTAGAGACGTCACCAAAAATGAAGATTGGTTTTACTCCGACTGTTCTGTGAGTCAGCTTCCAGGAGGGCTTGAGAGGTTCCCACGTATCTCAACTTAAAATGCGCGCTGTTTTAAAAACTGGGTGCCAGGAAGAAGAGTGTAAGTTCTCACCTACTAACAGAAAGGTCAGTAGTTCAGACCCACCAGCCCTTCTGAGGGAGAGAGAGGAAGCAGTCGGCCGCTATCAGGATTTACAGCCTTGGAAACCCCAAGGGGTACTTTCCACTCTGCCCTACGAAGGGGCTGTGAGTGAGAATCAACTACACAGCAGCCGGTTTTTCAATCAAGAAAAAGTGCTCAGGTTTAAATGGAGTTAGTATGTCATGCCCAGAGCACATTCTAGATGTTGATGTCCCCCATGTGACCAATCCTTTAAAAACAGCTCTCTCCTTCTGAGTGGCCAAATGATACAATTCACTGGGAAACTATATGGGCTATTTAAAAGGCTGTGAGAAGAACTACAAAATAATAAAAAATATAGCTATTGTTTCTCAATATATCCTCCATTTAGAACTACCTCGTCTGAAGATGGTACTTCCATTTCTCTCCTTGCTTGAAGAATGGCAGTTTAGAATCCTCAAGACTCAAATCGTGCTCCTTTTTAATGTTCTTCGATTTGGGAGAGCAAAAAGAAGTCTGAAGGGACAGTAACAGGGCTGTAGGTAGATGGGGTACAATTTCCCAAGGACATTCTCCTGGGACAGCCCTTCCTATCCTCCAAGAACGAGCAGGTGCATTGTTGTGATGAAAAACACCCTTGAAGGAGGGTTTCTGGCCAAGGCACTGAAATGTCAATGTTTTCAGGGTAGGCCTATCTCCTAAAGGTAGGAGAGCACAGTGAAGTCTTTACTGAGAAATGGAATTGCTTTTTTATTAACAAAATCATATGACCATAAATGTCCTGAATCTACTAAGCTTGAAATCAAAGAGCTAATATGACCAATAGGGCCAATGGTTATTGTTATAAAACAAAACCATTGTTACCCCCAAACCCCCTACAGTGGTACCTGATGGCCCAGTAGGTTTCAAAAGCTCTAGAATAAGGAGCACTGTCAAGGGTTTAAGCTCTATCAAAAGGGATACTTCCTATGACATGGATGGGTGACAGAAACCTGCCAGCAAAGACTATGTAGGATTTCATTTGTACAAAATGTCTAAAATAGGTGTATACATAGAAACAGAGCAAATTACTGGTTATCTGGGGCTGGGCGGGAGGGTCAGGTGGTGTTGGGAGGACATGGAAATAATTACAAAGGTATGGGTTTTCTTTTGGGGGGGTGATGAAGATGTTCTAAAATTGATCTTGGCGACAGCTGCACATCTCTGCTAATATACTATAAATAATCTGTGTATCAGTTATATATTGAGACCTTCCTTTCATAAGGGACAACCTAGGGGTTAGGAGAAAGAGAGCTTACGCTATAAAAAGGGAGGACACAGCGTACCAGGAGGCGGGAGGCTCCGTACAGATGTGCCCCTGTACGTTGTAGCTTTGTGCTGGGAGCGCTTAGAGTACACGAGAGGTAGCTCGGGAAGTAAGGAGGAAAGGCATGACCCTTCTGTGAGGGGATGTCCCATTGTCTAGAGATGGGGTTTGGGTCTCTGCTCCGACCCCTTTCGTTCTCAACAATACGTGTTTGTTTGTTTGGGGTCTTCTAGTGCCTGTTACCTGATCCCATCGACACCTCATGATCTCACAGGCTGGTGTGCTTCTTCCATGTGGGCTTGTTGGTTCTCTGCTAGATGGCCGCTTGTTTAACTTCAAGCCTTTAAGGCACCATCAGCTTTCTTCACCACATTTGCTTGTGCATCACTTTGTCTTCAGCGATCATGTTGGGAGGGTGAGCATCAGAGAATGCCAGGTTGTTAGAACAAAGTGTTCTTGCGCTGAGGGAGGGCTTGAGCAAAGGCCCAAAGTCCATCCACTTCTTCAATGTACTGCTATATATGTACATAGGCCGAGACCTCTATTTTTATGAATACATTTACATGAGTGCACACTATGTTTATACCTCTACCCATAGCTTTGCCTCCTACATCTTTCCTCTGTTTCCTTTTAACTTCCTCCTGTCCCACCATCACACTCACCCTTCTACTGCCTCTTAGTAATTCCTCAGCTACCTTGCTGTTGTTACACCACCACTGGGATCTCTACGTCACGTTCCTGATTTTAAACCATGTAGTATTCCCTTGTTCTGTTTTCACAACTGCTTTTTGATCCATGTACAGGTTCCTCAAGACCACAATTTAGTGTTCTGGGATTGATTCTGATCCACACAGTCGAATGCCTTAGCATAGTCAATGAAACATAAGTACACGTCTTTCTGGTATTAGCAGCAATAATATCCCTTATTCTACATCCTCTTCTGAATCCAGCCTGAACTTCTGGAAGCTCCCTTTAAATGCACTGCTGCAACCGTTGTTGGATAATCTTCAGCAAAATTTTACCTACAAGTGCTATTAAGTTGTTCTATAATTTTTTTTAACTCATTTTATTAGGGGCACATACAACTCATCACAATCTATACATACATCAATTGTATAAAGCCATATTTGTACATTCGTTAACATCACCACTCTCAAAACATTTGCTCTCTACTTAAGCCCCTGGCATCAGCTCATTTTCCCCATCCCTCCCTTGTCCCCCCCTCCCTCATGAACCCTTGATAATTTATAAATTATTTTGTCATATCTTACACTGTCCGACATCTCCCTTCACCCACTTTTCTGGGGAGGAAGTTATATGCAGATCCTTGTAATCAGCTTCCCCTCTCCACCCACCCTCAAATTGTTCTGTAATTTGAGCATTCTGTTTGGTCACCTCTCTTTGGAATGAGTACAAATCTGGATCTCTTCTAGTCAGTTGCTCAAGTTGCTGTCTCCCACACTTCGTGGCATTGACGAGTGGGTGCTTCCAGCACTTCATCAGCTTGTTGAAAGATTTCAAGTGGCATTCTATCAATTCCTGGAGCCTTGTTTTCGCCTAATGCTTCCAGTGCAGTCTGAACTTCTTCCTTCAGAACCACTGGCTCCTGCTCATATACTACCTCTTGAAATGGTTGAACGTCGATGAGTTCTTTTGGGTACAGTGACTCTGTATTCTTCCCATCTTCTTTTAATGCTTCCTGCATCACTCAACATTTTGCCCACAGAATCTTCAGTGTTGTAACTCGAGGCTTGAATTCTTTCTTTATTTCAGTTTAAGATACACTGAACATATTCCTTTTTGGTTTTCTAATTCTAGGTCTTTGCACATTTTATTATAATACTTTACTTTGTCTTCTCAAGATGCCCTTCACAATTTTCTGTTCAACTCTTTGACTTCATCATTTTGTCCATTTGTCTTAGCTACTCTATGATTAAGAGCAAGTCTCAGATCTCTCTCTTCTGATGTCTACTTTGACCTTTTGTTTTCCTTCCTGTATTTTTTATGAACTTGCTTTTTTCCTGTATGCTGTCTTGAGGTCGCCCCACAGCTCACTGCGTCATCTTCTGTCATTCGTGTTCAGTACAGCAATCTGTTCTTGAGATGTCCTCCAAATTCAAGTGAGACAGACTGCTCATATTTCGGTTCATGTGGGCTTGTTTTGAATTTCTTCAACTTCAACTTACAAATGAGCAATTGACGGCGTGTTCCACAGTCAGCCCCTGGCCTGGTTTTAGCTGCAGATATTGAGCTTCTCCACGGTCTCTTGCCACAGTCAATTTGACTCCTGTGTATTCCATCTGAGACGTCCATGTGTATGGTCGCCATTTGTTGTTGGAAAAAAGGCATTTGCTGTGAACGAGTTGTGAGTCTTGTAAAATTCTCTCATGCAATCAATCTCCAGTTTCTTTCTATACTAAGACCATATTTTCCTACTACTGTTCCTTCCTCTTTGTTTCAGACTTTTGAATTCCAGTTGCCAATAATTATCAATGCGTCTTGATTGCATGTTTGATCGATTTCTGACTGATGATGTTAGAATTCTCCAATGTCTTTGTCCCTAGCTTTAGAAATTGACTCGATGGCTCCTAACAACACCCACCAC